TTTATTGATTAAAAATACTTTTAGTCAACTTATATTATTACATAAATTGTGTTACTCCATAAGCCAAAAGTTACATTGAAGGAAAAATATGTTAAATTTATTATTTAATTGATTAATTTTATTAAGTGATAATTCAAAATTTTTCTTCATGTACTTAATACTTTTTTTTCTTTGTCGACCAGAATAAAACAAAAAACAAAAAAAAATTATTAAAAAAAAAAAATATATATAAAAATTATTATAAAAAATATATAAAAAAATATTATAAAAAATTATATATATATATATATATATATATATATATATATATATATATATATATATATATATATATATATATATATATGTAAATAAGTAAAAAAATAAATAATATAAATGCACATATAAGTAAACAAACAAACAAACAAACAAACAAATAGTTAAATAAGGAAATAAATAAATAATAAAAATACATACATGAGTAAATAAATAAATATATAAAAATACATAAATGAACAAACAATAAAATAAATATATAAATAAAAAATAAATACATAAACAAAAACATAAACAAACAAACAAACAAACAAACAAACAAATGAATAATAAATAAATAAATAAATAAATAAATAAATAAATAAATAAATAAATAAATAAATAAATAAATAAAATACACATTGTAATTCCTAATTGTTTACTCACAATAAGCGAATAAATTATTATAACTATCATTATTATTTTTTGTTGTATTCTTCTTCATTTATGTTCTGCTGAGGAACAAAAACAATGTTATCACCATTTTGGACTGAAGGTAAGTAAATTAAAAACTCATTTTCATTATGGTTTAAACTATATTTACAAACAAACCATGTGTCAATTAGACTACACCACTAAATGAAAATTATTCAAATAATAATGATTATAATGCAATCGAAATTATTTTTATTGCACATATTTTAGTTTTTTGCTTTGCTTGATTTTTATTTGTATTTTTTTTAGTTAGCAAATTTCATTTTTATTTCTCAAAGATTAATTTTCCCTTTGTAGTTGTTTATTTTTGTTAGCACAATACATTTTTTTTATTTCTCATTTATTTTCTCTTTGCGATTATTGGAGATTTGCATTTATTTATTTGTTTTTTTGTTTGCAAAAAACTAATTTGTTTTGTTTTTTTTTTGTTTTTTTTTTGTTTCCAAAACTTTCTTTTATTTTGCAAGTATATGGCCCTAGATTGACTGACATAGGTTTTTAAGCATATGCGATTGATGGAAAAATTTAACAATTCTTAGTGGAAACAGAAATATTCTGAAAAATAAATTTGTATAACAAAACAACAACAAAAAAATAGTAAAAATAAATAAATAAATAAACAACAACAATTACTTCTCTCAACTGACTTATACAGAACATTTCACTTTATGTACAGTATTTAAGGCATGTTATAAATAACTGTATTTACTTTACAAATAAATTAACTGTAATCCATTACTTTACTTTTACTTTCTATTTTAATTACAGTAACTTGTTGCTTTGTAGCTAATTACACCTCACAAATTTGTTAGGTTTGGTTCACTGATATAAATAGTTAGCAATGCAAAGCATAGGTTTAAAATTAATCTAAAATTAACACGTGCATTACGAAGCATAGTTTCAAATATAACCACATTGGTAACATTTTTTATTTTTATTTAAATAACTATTATTTGTATTTACACTACGAAGGCATACTTGTGAAAAGGCCATGCATTAGAGATCAGATGGAGTCTAAGATAATGTATGATTTGCTGAATGAAGCAAATAAATAAAAGTAAACTGTATCATATTAAATTAGCTTTATCAACAATCCCCCTGGAAGCGAGGTAACAGTGAGAAAATATATTTAAGCCATTTTAATATAAAAAATAGATATTTTAATAGAAATAGCTTAATACTTAAACGTGAAAAATAAATAATTCTATTTATTTTGCATTATTTTAATTAGTTAAATAATAATAATAATAATAATAATAATAACTATTATAATAATAATAATAATAATAATAATAATAATAATAATAATAATTATTATTATTATTATTATTATCATTAGACATACCATCATCTGCTTCATCGCTGCCGAAGTGTTGTCTGTAGCACAGCATGATCTCCACATTATAGCACTTATAGATGGCGGTGAAGATCCCCAATAACAGCATGATGGCACCCAGACCACCAACCAGCTCCAACCTGTACATATCTACAAGAGAACAGAAACATACATCCTTAATGTTTATAATAATGTACAGAGAATGAGCAAGTCAAATGAAACATTTCTTCTTTATCTCTTAATGCAATTAAAAATACATGAGACAAATTTTGGACCATGTAATTGCCCTACTTCATCTGTCAGTTACATCAAACAGCATTTGACATATATGAACACATGGACATTCAGATCAGGCTTCACTTCACAAGGTCGAGAACAAAACATTCACATGTATGTGATGTCCAGCTTTCAGACAGTTGATACTAAGATTGAACATTAATTTGAACATGTACACCATTAGCCTATAACAGACCTGTCAACCCTCCCGTTTTTCCCAGGAGCCTCCCGTATTTTACAGTTATATCCCGTTATCATTCCATAAAGGTATTTTCCCATATTTCTTCCCGTATCTTTCTCTGAAGAGTGACAATAAACAGTTAAGAGCTGATCCTCCCTATAAGCAACCTACTGAACCATCAGGGGGCGCCCCTCACTCTTAAATGTGAATCTGTTCTGTTTTTTCATTTTATTTAGGCATGAAAACACGGTGAAATAAATATAAAACGGCAGGATTTCCTTCGCTTTCATTACAGGTGCTGTCGCCCCTCCTGTGCAATCCTAAAAACAGTAATGTAGCGGTGTGTGGTTGTCAGCTGACGCGCTACATAGTGATAAATAGACTCTGTTTCCCAAACAGATTCTTTACATGTGATTTGAAGCGTAGTGAAAGTCTAGGTTTTCGGTGCTGTTTAAGCAGACATATACACATAATTAATAATAATAACATCTTAAGATGGCGATCTTGCTGTTTTTTTTTTTAAACACAACAAATTTTGTCCTAAATGCACATAAAAAGTTAGGAAACAATCGAATGCTTTCATCATAACATTAGATGTGTGCATTTTTAAAGTGACACTTCTGTTATTTAATGTAATCAAACAGAAAATCCAAATAAATGAGATTCATTCGTTGCACTTTAATCAGAATGTGTGAGCTATACAGTGAAAAAAAAGGTTAATGAGATTTGATAACTTGATTCTATTTCTTGATAATAGCTATTAATTTTTATAATATGAACTGTTTGCTAATTTATTGGGGGGTGGATTGTTATCCCCTATTATGCTGGGCATATCCCTTATTGTCACATCCCAATGTTGACAGGTATACATTATAGCCCAGCAGGCACAGGACGTCAACATGACGGCAGATTGACATTGTACCCCAACGTCGTGAGGCATTAGATTTTGTTTGGAAATAAAAATCGGGTCTGAACCCAATGTCAGGCCGATGTCAATGCCCAACGTCAGGCAGAAATTGCATTTTGGCTACTTTCCAACCCAACCTAAAACAACCAAATATCAACGTCTAATGATGGTACAGCTTGATGTTGTGTGGACGTTACCAATATGACATCTACCAAATGTTGGATTTTGGTTGCCATTCCCGACAAATAAATGTCAGTATTTGATGTCAATATGACATTGGTGTAAGATGTTGGCTTGACATTGGATTTTGGTCATTTTCAACACAACCTAAACTCAACCAAATATCAACGTCATTTTACGTCATTAATGAACGTCAAAAAAACATTGTCCTTAGACACTGGTGATCTAAATCTAATAATCTAACCTATTAAGGTCTTATGACGTTGTGGTTTGTTGTACTTTGGCACAACAAATATACAACGTACAACAGAAAACCATACACTACGGGTCAAATGGTTGGTGTCTTACAACAAGGCAGCATTTACACTGTGTATAATGTAATTGAATTTTAAATAAGGGTTTCTGTTCGAATACTTAATTTAACTAGCAATCATTACAGACTTTAATGTCACACAGTCATTCAGAAATGAGTATAACATGCTGATGTATGCTGTAAAGTGATTTTCCACTTCAGTTTCTACATTTATATATGCATTATGTATCTGGATTTCTTACTTCAGGCTGTTTGAGTGAACATCATTCACAGCTGAATTTCATAAGCTAAATCTTTAATGAAGACAAAGGATGATAAAGCCCTTCTTTTAAGCACACAGTGGAGTCTATTTTAGCTACACTTTATATTCAGTTATGTTGGCATTAGTTTACTTTGATTCAGTTTACAGTAATTAGGGCCAGACAGAATTTGTAGACTTGTTTCTATTTCAATTCAATTCAATTCAGCTTTATTTGTATAGCGCTTTTGCAATGTAGATTGTGTCAAAGCAGCTTCACATAAATGGTCATAGTAACTGGAACAGTGTGGTTCAGTAACTGGAACAGTGTTGTTCAGGTTTTAGTGTTTAAGTTCAGTTCAGTTCAGTTTAGCTCAGTTCAGTGTGATTTAATCATTACTGAGAGTTCAAACACTGAAGAGCCAATTCATCGATGCGTAGCTCTACCAATCCTGAATCATGCAATCCTGAACATATTTCTTCACAGATTTTTGAAACAAATCTGTGTAAATGTGGAATGATTTTGAGTGTTGATTCATTCATTTTCCTTCGGCTTAATCCCTTTATTCATCAAGGGTTGCCACAGCGGAATGAACAGCCAACTTATCCAGCACGTTTCACACAGTGGATGCCCTTCCAGCTGCAACCCAGTACTGGGAAACATCCATACACACTCATTCACACACATACACTATGGCCAATTTGGTTTATTGAATTCACCTATACCGTGTGCCTTTGTACTGTGGGGGAAACTGTGGAGGAAACCCACGCCAACATGGGAGAACATGCAAACTCCACACAGAAATGCCAACTGTCCCAGATGGAACTCAAACCAGCTGTGAGGTGACAGTGCTGACAACTGAGCCACTGTGTCACTTAAGTTTAGAAGATGAAAACTTTATATAGCATAGCTTTTTTTTCTTTTACATCAATTGTTTGCAGAATGTCTTTATGGGGTGGTTACCACCCCCACCCCCTACCCCAATTTTGTTTTTTACTTCTTAAATACCTTATATATTATTAAATTGACATTGTTAGTGCATTCAGTTTCTGTGTGGAGTTTGCATGTTCTCCCTGACTTTGCGTGGGTTTTTATTCCGGGTGCTCTGATTTCCCTCACAGTCCAAAGACATACGGTACAGGTGAATTGGGTAAGCTAAATTGTCCATAGTGTTTGAGTGTGTGTGTGTGAATGTGTGTGTGGTTGTTTCCCAGAGATGGGTTGAGGCTGGAAGGGCATCCGCTGCGTAAAAACGTGCTATATAAGTTGGCGGTTCATTCTGCTGTGGCGACCCCGGATTAATAAAGGGACTAAGCCGACAAGAAAATGAATGAATGAATGTCAGTGCATTCACAGGCCTCTCTATTATATAGTGTGTGTAAACAACATGTGAGCAGAGTAGTATATCCAAATTAATAGTATTGGAAAAACAGTAGATGAGATGTACTCAGATGACCCACAAGTGCACATACGGTTGACGCTTTACTATCCAATGACACACTAGGTCACACTAGAATATGTATGAATTGGAGTGAAGTGAACTGATGCTGGTAGGTCATGTGATGATAAATGCTGAATGTTGAATGTCTGAATTTCATTCACACTACTCACGATCATACTATATGGGTTCTCCAACCTTATTTTACATGTAGGCTACTTTTTAAAAATTGAAAGTGGCAAGAGCTACTCATGTCTCAGTCACTGAATCTTAAAAATGTACTCTCACTGGCCACTTTATTAGGTACCTCTAACTAGTACCGGATTGGACCCCCTTTTGCATGCATAACTGCCTTTATTCTTTGTGGCATAGATTCAACAAGGTACTGGAAAAATTCCTCAGAGATTCTGGTCCATATTGACATGATAGCATCACGCAGTTTCTGCAGATTTGTCGGCTGCATAACACTGGTCCTGTTTTGAATCTGCCACTATGGTGACACATGGTTGTTTGCAGCTCTTTTGAAAAGACAGCTGGATCTCATTTGAATTTAAAGCAACAATAAAAATTATGTGTGGGATATTTTGAGCTGAAACTTCATACACATTCTAGGAACCTCGGAGACTTAATTTACATAATAAAAACGGGCAAAGTAGGTCCCCTTTAAATGTAATTTTTCAATATCACTTTAGTGAACATGTTTATTTATTTAATAATCATTCAAATGTAGGATAAATATAAATATAAGTCCTATAAAAGATTGGGAAAACAAATTATGTGTCCGTACAAAGATTTTAATTTGCTTTCAGATTAGGAGTGTCAGGGGCGTAGCACGAAATTCTGGGCCCTGTACCCTCTCAATGTCAGTGGGCCCCCTACACATTTTTTAAAAATTATTTAAATATAAACATGCACAAATAGTGTTTTAATCTATAATCAAATAAAATTATAATAATGACTGGTTCTTTCATTCACCACCATTGAGTGCTGCTTCTGCTGGTGTGTCGGAACCACTGGTTGTTTCTGAAACTGGTTAATGTTGGCAACCTGACGTTAGCTGGCCTGGCCCATAATTTACTTACAGCAACAAGCAGCCTGGTTGACAAACTAAGCTAAAGATTTAACATTAGCATACATACATTACAGGGCTCGAATTTAACTTTTTTACTTGGTAGCACTGGTGCTCCCAACTTCAAAAAGTTAGGAGCATCCCAAAAAATTTAGGAGCACCCATTTTCTTTTTAGTTATGCGCCAATGTTGATTCCTAATGGACGATTTTGATTAGCACATGTACATCTCGGAGATGTCTATTTGACGTCTGCATTCACATCTGCAATACATCTACAAGACGTTTCCTATCAGATGTGAAATAGACTTCTATTAGACATCTTTAAGATGTTTGCGATTCAGAATGTGTGTAAAACGGACATCATACAGACGTCTGCCAGACGTTTTCTGTTTTTAAAATCCCGATTTGGGCTTTTTGCGCAGCATGATCAGGCTCTAGACTCACTGCATTACTTGTTTGCCGCCGGCTGCCGTCTATGGGCGGACTAAACCATTTAGGGGGGGGGGGGGGGTGTTATCAATATATTTTGAAATATATAATGACATTGACATCAATTGGATGGGCCAATTAATTCGAAGTAGGCTACAAAAAAATTAAAAATAATAAAAAATTGGTGGGGTTTCAAAGGGCCCTCTCCCTAGACGGGGCCCTGGGTAGTCAGGTCCACTTTTCCCCCCACTACCACGCCCATGAGGAGTGTCTGTCCTTTTCTGCTGACATCAGTTTGTCAACTTCAGCAGAAAATATACTTAACCACATCCCCTTTTACCATTAGTTTGCTATGAGGGAATGATGTGCAAAAAGCCCTGCCTCTTACTCAATATTTAAACCGGAAGTACATCAACATAGTAAAATAAAAGTCTCAGCAGTCTCAGTTAACATCGACTTTAAGTTTAGAAACAAATTGAGTCTTCTGCTCCCTTGCCTCACAGTGCTTTGGTCCAAATTCCTGCTTTCCTCTGTTACATCATCTACACACCCACACACACGTCTGGCGAAAGAGAACAAAGTCAATAGTTGTGTAACTCAGTTAGTAACGCTGCTGTCAAGGTTGTTTCATTCACTTAAACATCGGATGACGTGATTAGCTTCTCTTTAATATGGATAATGGCAATGTAGGCTATTTTACGATTACTCTGCTCTGTTAGCAACAATAATGTTACCTGCTTGATAAATAGTATTGTCTAAAATGGAAACAACTGCTATTGCAGCACAAGCACAACAGCTTGAATTTTAGCATTATCATTTGTTCCCCCTTCAACAATTACCCTTAAGAGATTTTATGATCATTGCTTCCCCAACTGTTAGATGAAATTTACAGCCTTGATTGGTCGACTGGCCTGGAAAGTGGAAAGAGTGCAGCACAGCATTAAAATGGGCATGCTAGCTTCCTATATTTCTGTCAATGTCTCCTAAAACATAACTCACTTAATCCCCGATTAATCAGGGGTTGCCACAGTGGAATGAACTGCCAATTACTTTGGCATATGTTTTATGTGGAAGATGCCCCTCCAGCGGCAACCCAGCACTGGGATACACTCTCTCTCTTTCACATAACAAACATTTAGTTTATATTTAATTTGCCTATAGTGTACGTCTTTGGACTACAGAGGAAACTGGAGAACCCAGAGGAAAACCACATGAACATTGGGAGAACATGCAAACTCCACACAGAAATTCCACCTGGCCCAGCCAGGACTCGAACCAGCAACCCTCTTTTTTGGCTCCTATACAGCTTTGTGCAACCAATTACACAATTGTCCAACACAGGCTCATTGGGAAAATGTGCCCAGGTTTACATTTCTGAGAACCAACAATTATATCCGTCGGGATACGTAATAGCTATATTTTTGTGTATTGTAATGTGTATTAATAAAGCGCATTTATTGTGTATAGCCATGCACCCAATGTGCTTCACAATCATGAATCATGGGGGGGGTTGATAGGTCTCTCCACGACACCATCAGTGTGCAGCATCAATTTGGATGATGTGACGGCAGCCATAGGACAACAGCGCCAGTGCGCTCACCACACACTAGTTATTGGTGGACTAGAGAGACGGTGATAGGGCTAACTCAGTGGATGGGGGTGATTGGGAGGCCATGGGTAAAGACCGATGGAACAAATTTGAACAAGACACTGGGGTTACACGGCTACCCTTTACAAGACATGCCATGGGATTTTTAATGACCACAGAGAACCAGGACCTCAGTTTAACGTCTCATCCGAAAGACAGCACCCATTGACAGTTCAGTGTCCCCTTCACTTTACTGCGGCATAAGGACTCACTCAAACTGCAGGTTGAGTGCCCCCTGCTGCCCTTACTAACACCAAAAGCAACCTAGTTTCTGCCATTCAGGTATTAACTAAGCTCAGCTGCTTACTTTAGTGAGCAACTGGTCTTTGGCTGCAGGTTGATATGGCTGTGGCATTTTGTGTGTAAAATGAATGCTACAGTGCGGATTCGCTCACCGCTTACATCCATATGGACAGCTTTTCCAGTGTGATTGATTTGATCAGTAGCTAACCACAAATGGTGGCAGACTTGGGAGGTGGAGCAAGGGAAACAGGGTTAGAGTCGGGTGAAGGACACTTTCAGAAACAAGGAAAAATGAAACCCTAAACATAGAGCAGTGTGATGCTGTTGCCACGATGGCTTCACAACACTATTGGTTGGGTTGCCTGTGCCGACAGTACTGTATTTGAGATTGTCAAAAACAAAACTGCAAGAAAGCGTAGTCTAGTTTACATATTTCTCTTTTCTCAAAAATGTAGCCCTGGGCTAATAATTCCAGTGAGCCTACGATGCAATTGTCATGGACACGTGTTCTGGAACTCTGCCTTCTTTAATGTGTGATTTCTTCCTCCAGATGTGTTTCCACAGGGGTCAGGCAGGAGAACAAAATCCCAAACAACAACACTGGCCACATGGATACACTAGAAGTGGAGCAGCAGAGCTGGTGCAGATGTATCCGCACCTGTACGATCGCTCACAGAGAAATATTACAGACTTGGAGGAGGGCAAACACCAAATGAGAAGCCGACCTCATCTTTTCTATGAGTTTACACACACCGGCAGCACTATTTGGTGTCAGTCCATGGCAAACAGAAAAACAATATAACAATGTGAGGTGTCACGGTGGCACTTCTTGTGCAACAGGCTCGGGAAGATAGATGTTTATGGAACTGTTTTTCTCACCAATGGCCATTGTTGTGACGCATTTACAGCACCACCTATTGCAGCGTGGGGGTGTTCGAGTAAAAACTACCTTTTATCCTCAAAAAAAGAACCAAAAAGAAGTTTGTTTGAAGTTCACCGGGGCCTTTACCCAGAGAGCATCTCCAATTAATTAGAGCTTTGATATTTTTAGGAAGAAGCAGAGTCAATCAGGAAAAGAATAAAGGAGTATACATAGAAACAAACCTACGCTAACTTGTTTTCAGCTCAGCTCAAGTTATCGATGGCCATTAACCACTGGGAAAAACCATTGGGTTAAAAATGTAATTAAAACAAAATGACCCAGTCGTTGGGACTGTCATATGTCCACTAATTTTAAATTGAAACAGCCCAGTACATAGTTACAAAATGTCTGATTTACCTTTTTTCTGCAGGATGGCACTTCCACTGCCACGACCGATGTGGTTTTCTACATTACAGGTATAGTTTCCCATGTCAGTATCCTCAACAGCGTCAAAGACGAGAGACAGCTCCACTTCCTTCTCCCCCAGAAACTCTCGCACCACCCTGCACAACACAAACAATGCACATGTTCAGATTAGCATACTCACACACTATACAATCTATTTCGGCCGAATGCAGTGTATATATATATATATATACATACATACATACATACATACATACAGTTAAAATCAGAATTATTAGTTCCCCTTTGAATTTGTTTTTCTTTTTTAAATATTTCCCAAATGATGTTGAACAGAGCAAGGGAATTTTCACAATTTGTCTGATAATATTTTTTTCTTCTAGAGAAAGTCTTATTTGTTTTATTTTGGCAAGAGTAAAAGCAGTTTTTAATTTTTTAAACATCATTTTAAGGACAAAATTAGCCCCTTTAAGCTATATATATATATATTTTAAATGTCTACAGATCCAACCATTGTTATACAGTAACTTGCCTAATTACCCAAACCTGCCTAGGTAACCTAGTTTACCTAAGTCTTTAAATTTAAGCTGTATAGAAGTGTCATGAAAAATATCTAGTAAAACATTACTTACTATCATAATGAAGATAACATTAATTAGTTATTAAAAATAAGTTATGAAAACTATTATGTGTAAAAATGTGTTACCAAAAATGGTAACACTTTATAATAACTACACACTATGTATCATTTACAAAGCATTAGCATCTAGTCTAGTGAATTCTTTATTTGTTATGCATTAACTCTACATTAATAAACATTAGTAAGCAGTTTATAACTGCAGCTACAAATGCTGTATTCTTGACTTATTAGCACCTATATAATGTGCTTAATAACTGTATTTTCATACTTAGTTAATGATTTATTTTTCATTACTAAAATAAGTATTACATTATTTACAAAACAGTTGTATTTAAGAGTAGTTGAGGGTTTTTAGGATCATTCACAATGAGTTAATAAATGATTAATAAACTATTGAAATCAACATTTAAATATCTTATTATTCAGGCATATATTCATAGTTAACTAATATGTTAAAAAATGTTTTATTAACTGAACTTCACGCAGTTTTGTGACCTAATCTAAAGTGAGAACTATTCATGCTTTATAAATCCCTTATTAATGACTATTAAAGGCTCAGGATCAAATGAACAATAATCTTTGGAATCTTTTCAAAAAAGCAAAATTACTGTAAAGTTTAAACATTGCTGAATAACAGGAGTGTCAAAATACAACATAAAACTGGATAAAACAACAACAACAATATGATAATTTAACAATATAGTAAGATGCAATGTTTAAACTTTACAGTGATTTTATTTTAGATAAGGTTGCAAAGAATATTTTTTCATTTGTAGTACAGTTTCATTTGTGTATAATGACATTTCACCTGTTTAGAGTTTAACTGAGCCTTTATTTGTCATTTATAAGGGATTTATAAAGCATAAATAGTCATCACTTTAGATTAGGTCACAAAACTGCATTAAGTTAAGTTAATAAAGCATTTATTAACATATTAGTTAACTATTAATATATGCCTGAATAATAAGACATATAAACGTTGATTTCAATAGTTTATTAATCATTTACTAATTCATTCTGAATGATCCTAAAAACCCTCAACTACTCCTAAATACAATTGGTTTGTAAATAATGCGATACTTAATTTAATAATGAAAAATAAATTATTAACAAAGTATGAAAACACAATTATTAAGCACATTTTAAATATGTTTGTTAGTCAAGAATACAGCACTTGTAGCTGCATTTAAAAACTACTTACTAACCCTTATTGATGTAGAGTCAATGCTTAACAGATAATGAATCCACTATTGCTAATGCTTAATAAATGATTTATAGTATGTAGTTATTATAAAGTGTTACGAAAAAATCTTCTCTCTGTTAAACAGAAATTGGGGAAAAAAATGAACAGGGGGGTGAATAATTCAGGGGGGCTAATAATTCTGAATTCAACTGTAAATATATATATATATGTATGTATATATTAGTCACCGAACAGCTTTAAAAATAGATAGATAATACGTTTAAATTCAATGGAAATATTGGAAAGACAAACTACAAAATTTCAACATCATTTCATATTTTTTTTTGTTTTTCTTGAATTTTCCTATTTAATATTTTTTTCCTAACATAAAATACTAATTTTGGATGAGTTATTTTGCTAAATTATCTCTAGATTTGGCATCAGTACTGACTAAACAGTTGACTTCCGGAGGAAACCCACACCAACACGAACATGAACATGCAAACTTCACACAAAAATGCCAACTGTCTCAGCCAAGACACAATCCAATGAACTTCTTGCTGTAAGGCGACAAAGCTAGACTAAGCCACTGAGCCACCGTGCCGCCTATAACAGGAGAAAACATGCTAAATATTCAGATTGGAAATTACAGGAATAAATTAGTGTTGTACTGTTAAGCTTTATTTTGTAGCAATTAAATGCAGCCATTAAAAAAAAAAACATAAAAAGTGTTACTTTACCAAATGTCCCCACAACTATAGCAAAACAAGTAAATTATGACTTTGTAGGGACTTTATTTGGTCCCCATAAGGATAAAAGCTCATATGTCACCCATTATTAAGCATCCTAAAAATATAATGATGCAGATTGTTTCCTTTGTGTGTTGGGTTTAGGGGATATAACAAACAGTATGTACAATATACACTCATCCACTTGTTGATGCCAAATTCTGACTCTACCATCCAAATGTCGCAGCAGAAATCGAGACTCATCAGATCAGGCAACGCTTTTCCAGTCTTCGAGTGGTTATTTGAGTTACTGTTGCCTTTCTATCAGCTCGAACTAGCCTTCTCCTCTGACCTGTGGCATCAATAAGACATTTGCACCCACTGCCGCTCACTGGATGTTTTCTTTTTTTGGGCCATACTCTGTAAACCCTAGAGATGGTTGTGCGTGAAAATCCCAGCAGATCAGCAGTTTCTGAAATTCTCAGATCAGCCCGTCAGGCACCAACAACCATGCCACGTTCAAAGTCACTTAAATCACCTCTCTTTCCTATTCTGATGCTCGGTTTCAACTGCAGCAGATCATCTTGACCATGTCTACATGCCTAAATGCATTGAGTTGCTGCCATGTGATTGACTGATAAGAAATGTGGGTTAACAAGCAGTTGAACAGGTGTACCTAATAAAGTGGCCTTTGAGTGTACATATTACGTCTATGGTAAGTGCCCATAAATATAGCTGTAAAAGTGTTTGAATATAAATATATATATTTGTGTGTGTGCGTATAAGCCTATATATATACACACACTTGTACAGCTATATAAAAATTTCCTTAATATATGAAATACCCAGATGGAGTACTAAATTTGCCAGAACAGAGCATGCTGTGCAGAATACTATATCCCACAATGTTCTATCATCGACCTCCATTTCCAGTGTGACAAATGAACCGGAACATCAGCAGTAATTTGTTACATCTCCTTCTTGACTCATTATTTGATTAGACAGCCAAGAGTTGCAATGATATTACTCAGAACTGGCTTGAGAATACGACTCTGAGAATATAACGTCAGTCTGATCTTAATGTCAGCGAATCTTCATCTAATGTTAATCCAGATTCAAACAAGGCGACATATAATATCTTTACAGAATAGACTGAACAAATACGGCCTTCACGAGAAAGCCTTGTGTCTGCCGCTCACTTTCATATTTCAGTCAGAATATATTCATACTTTTATCTCTTTCGAGACACTTCCCCTCAATATTTTTAAAGGTCTTTTGAATGGCTCTTTTTCTTGGATCTTGCTGTCGCATTAAGACTCTCCTCCATTTGAACATACTGTATGTGGAACTCAGTCAAAACAACGCTGGCACTACAGAGACTCTCACTATTTAAAATAGATTCTTTTGTGCTCCGGGAAGTAAAGAGAGGCTTTTGATTTTGGAAAGAATATTAGATTTTTTGGAAGAGATTTGAGGATGATGGCTCAATGAATGTTCATTTTCTGGTGAACTATCATTTTAAAAGACAAAAAAGTACATCTACTGTATGCTACAAATGGGAGATGTCAAGTAAACCAAATCAAACATGAAGAAAAAATCAATCATCCATGCTATATTTAAGTATGAACACACTCTAATTGTTTAATGATATAAATTTCAGCAAAAAACTGACCAAAACTGTGATGTTTAACGGTCATCTAAGTAATTAGTTTATCAGATTAAATAAATTACAATGGACATTATACAAGTATATGGTAAAAGACATACACAATAAGAAATAAAGATAACTTTAAGCAATTTGGTAAACAAAAACAGTATACAATACATCTGCATGATTAGACAATTATCAAACCTAACAAAATAACACTGCCAAAATAATACACCTGATAACGAAAAATACATTTAATAGTCCAAAAACTGCTCATTAGATATGCACAAGATGTATTAAATATCATGTTTAACAACAATAGAGAGATAAGATCCAGTGGTACATCCTAGTCGAACTGGCTGAAGTAAAGCTGCTTTGGGCGGAGGAGGTGATGACAAAGCTCCTGCTGACAGGCTGAGGGTCAGAGTCTTCAAAAGCGTACATCGTCAAAGATGCGCTATCTTTATAAATAAACTGCTAATTTGAGTTTAAAACAAATACATTCTCGCATGAAAAACTCTTAAAACTTTATTTTGTAACACAACAGAGGAGAATTTTTAAAATCATGCAGGTTTTCTCCTCTGCTATTAGCTATTGCTGGTCGGCCTGCGTTTCGCAAGTTCACACATATCACCTCTCGATACATCCTTGGCAAAAGGGTCGGAGCAAGTACACATCCGGGTATTTTATATGTGCTTGCCAAGATGTGAACTTTAAATTAGAACAGTACTTCTGCGACAGTTGATGATAATAAAAGATAAAAAAGTCTACTGTATGATACAAATGGGAGATTTTAAGTAAATCAAATCAAACATGATGAAGAAAACAACAACAATCATTTATACTGTATATTTAAGTATGAACACACTTTCATTAACTCTGCTCACACTCTGATTAATTAGTTTGTCTAAATTTCAGCTAATTTTATTATACAATTCCAA